AGTACAATTCATTGATCAATTATCTTAATTTGTTTCAGGCAGTACGCATTGAGTAATTCGTTGCACATTTTCAAATTAGCTTAAAGGCATATCGAATGGTTGTGAAAGCTTAAAAATTTATCTGGTTATATATAAATAATTATATTTCATAATTAGCCTCACACATTGCATAATGCCAACAACGTTTACAGAGAGCATGCACTGCAATATGCCCATAAGAATTTGATTTTTTCCAATCGAGCTTTGCTACTTTGTGATGTTTTCTTTTTCTTTCTGATTTCGATTCTTTACTTTAATCTATATTATAAATGCCTTTCTTACTACGATGTCAGACCTTGTTCAATATTGCTACTTCACTTAAGTCATGCTTGATTTAGTTTTTATGAGATTTTGCTTTCTTATTGACTTTTATTTTAAGCTGTTGGCTTAAATCTGTGTACTCAACTTTCTTGCAGAAACTGCTCTAACACTGAATGGTCAGCAGACTAACTCTTGGTGGCACTGTATCCCGTTACATTTTCACTATGATGGTTATATACTTATTTATATTACGAATATATAATACTGGGTATCCTCAGTTTCGAAATGTATAGAAACATAGGGTTGTTATTTGCAAATAATGTTTATTTAAGAAAACCATATAACTTAAATGTTTGTCAGAATTGAAATGACCTTTCATAATAAAACAGTAAAAATAACAGGAAATAACAGGAAGTAAATAGCAGGAAAATGATTTTATTTAATAAAATTATAATTTCTCAGGAAATATGTAACAGGGCACGTATCGCGTCCAAGTGCTTTTGCTTTGAATTCAAGCATTTTTGAACAAATGACGCTGTGAATAGTTAACAAGAACATCAAAGAAATTAAATAAAAATTCCACGTTTCGAAATTTTTCATTGAATGAAAGTTTTTGAAACATCTACTATCTACCTCAAACACGTGTGCAATTAGAGAACAGAATTTTTATGCATCGGAACAGTATAAGGAATTTACAGTACCCTCTGATTTTCAAAATTTTTAACTAAACTTTAAACCATCTGCTGTTTTGAACAAAAACCAGAAATTCAGAGAGTAAAAATTTAAAGCTTGTTTAATCAATTTGGATCTTATATGTTTTCCTATAACAAAGTTTTGAAAACCGTCAGTTTAACTTATAATATCCTGTAAATTTACTCTTATACAGATTCACTAACATAAATTATACAAACTAGCTTTTCAAGTGTTTTTACAATATCAAATTTTAGAAAAAATCACCTAATGTTTTAACTAACTAACAGTTGTCTAAGATCGAAAAATAATTTCTTTAAAGAGAATTTTCTAACAAAGGTCGATTATATTTTAACTGGAAAAAACATTTTTATGCCTAAGATATTATTAAAAAGATTTAAAAATTAGTTTTTTTTTCTTTTGAATAAACACCTTAATTTAATTATTGTTAACATAAGACGATATTTGAAAAATAATGAAATGTTAAATTTTTGGAAAGAGAACAATTTTATAGAAAGTTTTTTGGAATATATAGAAAGTGCACATATTCAGTTTTAGAAACTAATCTTCAGTACATGCTACTACAAAAGGAGTAAAAAAGTAAACAAATAAATGAAAATTCTCAAGATCATGGAATAATGAAACCTCCTATTCAAAAGACTAAATTGATTTAAATTCCTCTCAAAATTTAATAAATTTACATAAAATCTATTTCTTTTCCCAATCTTAAAATAATGATTGGCGTTTATAGAATGTGGAATAAATAGCGGTTTCATATGAAGGTTTTAAATTTTAAACAAATATTGGAAAATATTTTGTAAAAATATTACATTTTTTTTCTTTAAATGTAATCAAATTTCGTTGAAAAGGTGGAATAGGAAAATAAAGAAAATAAATAAGCCTTCAATAAGTGGAGAAAATAGAGAAAATTTATTCGAAACACCTTCACCATTTTCTTATTAATGATCAATATTTCAAAATTTTCATTTCTTTATAGCGTTTATATTACAGCGCTTAAATTAAAACAAATACCTGATGGAAAAAAGAGAGTAAAAAAAAATTAGTGGAAGGAGAAATCCTGGAACAAGAATGAATTCGATTGAGAACAAATGAGTTCAATATCTTTCAGTGAAAAAAGTATTTGGTTATAGTTAAAAATGATTAAACAACAGTTTAGAAAAAAGTTAATTTCTTATAAGATTATTTCTTAAATTTTTAATTTCCAGGTAAATACAAACGTTTTACTAATACTGATTTTAAAATAAAATTATTTGACATTAAAAAATTTTCATTGACATTTTTTTTTACACTTAAGAGAGGTTATCAATTTTCTTAAACAAATATACGAAAGTTAAGTAGTTTCAAATGACATAAATTTTCCTTATATTTACAATTTAGTTTACCATCTAATTTTATCTAGATTTTCATAAGTTTATGACTACTAATAATTGTTTTTGAAAAGACATTTATATTTAAAAAAATAAATATAATTCAAAGAATTGTTTTTAGAATTTAAAGATTTCACATTGTGGTGTTAGTTTAACAATGAGTTTTTTACTCTATAGAGAGAATATTAGTATTTTTATTTGCATCATATTATATATCGGGAAACAATTCTTAAACTATATTGAAACTAAATTTTTATTAACATAATTTACACTCTTTTAATTCTTCTAGGAAACGGTTGACACTTAATAGTGTTTTAAAGCTGAAATAGTGTTTAAAAAATTACATAGTTTCTGAATGACTTGAAATATCTGTAGATGCTTTTTATAGAAAACTTTAGCTAAATCGTAAATAGCAAAATGTCTAACAGCTTCTAATAATTGATTATAAACTATATTTTTAATCGAACAATATTTAAACTGTACTGTTTTTAGAAATACGTATAAGTTGTGTTTTAGCATTAAATTATCCTAAATAAATGCTAATCATAAACAGCGGAGTGCCATGCCGCCATAAAGTTGAATGGCTCTTTTATTTAATGAGTTCAATGCTGGGCATTCGGTGGCAAAAATCTTTTTATAATTTTTATTACTCTTATATTTCTATATTTAACTTCAGCTAAAATAAATACAATATATACAATAATTTATAATAAATATAATAGCAGCTGCGGCGGCTCAGTAAATAGAGCGTTTGTCCCCAATGAGGTGAGCCAGGTTTAAATCCCATCGGTGGCTGGCTGATGCGAATTCAGCTTCTGGCTCGCCCCGACCACAGTGCTGATGGAAGATATCATCAGTGGTAGTCGGATCATGGGTTAGAATACCCTTGCGGGGCCAACCATGGGAAGTTTTTGTGATTTTTTTTCCTCCATGCAACGCTAAAGTGTGTTAGTTCCATCAAAAAGTCTTCCACGAAGAATATTTTGTTTTAATACTTGATCCAGGAGTTTCAATCTAATCCAAGAGTCCTTGTCTTTTGGATTGGGTTGAAAATCACAAGGCTGAGGATTTGAACATTGAATGTCGTAAACTCAGAATTGGGTCGGTTGCTATAAAATAAAATAAATTTTATTTAATCCATAATAATATACTGATTCATAATAATATCATTAATTCTTAATAATATACTAATAAATTTCCCCTGAAATAAAATAGTGCGTCTATAGTTTTTTTTTCTTAGGAAAAGTAGCCAACTTCAGTTGGAAGTACTCTTGGTACTTTACTTGTAGTTCTCTTGGACCGTTAAGGGTTGAAATAAAAGACAAATCATAAACAATACTTTTACTATAATAATTCAGTACTTTTACTGTAATACTGCGATACTTTTACTATAATATACAATGCTTTTACTATAATATTTACTATAATATTTACAATAATACTTTTGAATGGGTCATTATGTAAACATACACATTAATAGTCATTTACATAACCAATATAATATAGATCAGTGTCGCGATAACTCAGTGATTAACTCACGTAGCTGCCAGTTTGGAAGACTAGGGTTCGATCCCAAGTGGTTCATAAACAAAGAATACCAACTATATGGAAAGTAAGGACGATCAAAACACAATGCTGACCACATTGCCGCAATCACGCTGTTGGAATCGCGGAGGTGAAGAGGGTGGACTGTTTCCGAATAGGGTTAACACTGGTTCAAATCCAAGCCATAATTGAAAATTTCTAGTTGTGTGCTCAACTCATGCTGACTACAGTGCTGACGTAAAATATCATCAGTGGTAGACGGATCATGCGTCAGAATTCCCTTGGCGTCAGACTAACCATGGAAGTTTTCCGTAGTCTTCTTCTCAATGTAACGCGAATGTAAATTAGTTCCTCCACCTCTTCCAAGCAGCTAGTTTGTCCCAATGGGTGATCCAGGAATTCCCTTGTCTTCGAGCTGGGTTCAAAATTATAAAATTACGGAGCTGAACATAGAGAGCAGCTAACCTGAAAATTAGGTCTGCTGTTCAATGTTCGTTATAAAATGAAATCATTATGCAGGTTGCGAAATTGTTAAGTCTTAATCTTCATGACTCATCTCTTCCTGGTTCACAATGATCTGTTGCAATTTTGTTACCTTTTTATCTTTGCTCTTAATTTTTAAACTCTAAACTTTCAGTTAGCGGCACAAATATCATTAGATATAAATTCTACATTTGTTTCAATTTTTTAGAGCTCCTCCCATTAGTGTATTCATATATCTTGCTTCGGCTACAGTAATACAATATAAGAAAGCACTATTTTTTTGGATATGATCGTGTGAGCTGATGACGAGATTATATCTTTCCCTTATTTTCTTTCTTTCTTTTTCTTATTTTACCTTTTTTTATATGAAATTTTTCTTTTTAAAAAAAAACATTCTTTTTCTTCCCCTTTAAAAAAAAACTTTGTCTTCTCTATATTTTTAATTTATTTTATGAGTTCTATGTACTTCCAGCTTATGCGCAATAAATAAAACTTATTATTTTCTTTGTTTTTCTTCGTTAATCCCTATTTTCTTTTATCCTTTTTTTCTTTATTATGTATTTATAGGTATTTAAAATTGTTTTCTTACTTTAAATTAATTTCTAAAATTTAATTCGGCAGTCACTTTAGTTTTGAAATCTAGAAGCTATCAAGTAAAATATAGCGTGAATTTAAAATCTTTATTTCCCATTATCAACGCTTAAAACTCAAAACCATTCACAAATCCACTAAAATACCACTTAAAACCTTCTCCCACTTACTTCTTTTACTGTATAAATACAAATTATAAGTGTTTTCTACTCTTTGGAGAAACGCTCAAAACAATTACTTTCGTAAATATTTTTTTTTACTTTTAAAAAATTATAGTTCGTAAAGTATGTTCTTTTATACTCAAATATACCTTTTCTCCGTATGTTGAATAAAGAAAATGTTCGCATGGAATGGTATCTTGAGGCGGTTTTATGTTTCAATACATTCACTATCAAGGCTTTTCAAACTGAAAGAATATCTTTTTGCTCGCGGTGCTCAGATTCAAATACAGTAGTCTTTTAAAATTCGATAAGCTCTCCGAGGCGAAAAAATTACGAAATATTTTATACAGTTTAACGTTCTTTTTATACCAGTAAATATGCTTGCATTGCTATTTTTCATTCCAAAAAATTTATTTTGTCGTTTATTCAAATTCTGATGTTCTTTTAAAAGCCTTGTGATAAGAAAAATCTGTTCTTATATGATGCATTGATTTGTGTAAGACGATAAAACGAAGATGATGCATTGATTTGTGTTTATTTTCACAAATACAATTTTATAATTTAATATTATTTACCATACAAAAATATTCTCTTTTTTTTAAGTATTCTCTTTTATCATTCTAATGACTTCAGTTCGTTTCAATTCACATGCTTGAATATTATTTTTTTCCATATTCCAATTTTTTATTGTAGTTACGAATTGAAAACGAATAATAAATGCTTTCAGTTCATTAGAAATCTTCAAGTAATGTAATAACAGTCGTTCGGAATAATTTCCTATAATGAAAGAAAAAAATAAAAATATTACTAACTAAAAAAAGTTTTAGAAGAAGCAATAATAATCAGATCTTCAAACTAGTTTTGCTCCTTAATTCTTCAATAACGTTCATTAACTTCGTTCTTAATATGCATATAAAATTTAAAAAATAAAAACATTTTTACTTCATTTGAAGATCAGATATTTGCTTGAATAGCAATTAAATATTAATTCTTTTCAAAATTTGAATTGCGTTAGCAATGCATAATATTAATGTATACCTATTAATACATAAAAGTAAAGTTTTTTGGGGTACCAAGCAACTTATTGATTATTGTAATTAGATTCAAACTAATTTGTAGTAATTGAATTGGCCTCAGCTTTATTCAATTCTCATTTACTAATGAGTTGTTGACGTAATGAAATTTCCGTAACTTTTGTGCAGTAATTAAGCAAAATGCAAATTTTATGCATATTTAACAAATATCACCCACATTTCATAAGCCTCTAATGAACTTATTTAAAACAAATTTCTCTTCATTTCTAAACCACTTTATCGTTTAATTACAGTTCGAAATTAAGATTTTATAATTGACACATTTTCAAACCTTGATGAAGTATATTCACTCATAAACATAAGCTTAAAATTGTTAATCCATTGAAAACGAAAGCTGTATAATATACTCTAGTAAAGCGTTTGCGAGATTTTTCTTGCTTTTCTTTTTCACTTAGTTTATATTTATTTCAGCCTAATTATTTATATTTTAAATAATAATGCAAATAGTTTTCTTTTATGTGCAAAAGTATCATAAAAATCAAGAACAGCTTCTTAAATGATAACATCCTTTAGGCATCATTATTTAATTTCATGTTAATTACGAGCGGAGAGCATTGTTGTGGTGTAATTAATTAAGAAATAACTGCTATAGGCCACGGTATTCAAGAGAGATCACTGTTGTGATGGCTCTTCTAATTGATTAGCTGTTAAGAATGTATCGTATTCAAGAGAGACCTATGCTATGGCTACAATGCTATGGCTATTCTAATAAACTGTTTGTTTAGAAAGTATGGTATTCAAGAAAGAGCAACATTGTTATGTCTCTTCTAATTAGCTGTTTAGAAGGTATGGTAATAAAGAGAGATCCGCATTGTTAAGGCTCTTCTAATGAACTGTTTGTTCAGAAGGTATGGCATTCAAAAAAGAGCAACATTGTTATGGCTCTTCTAATTAGTTATTTAGAAGGTATTAGATATCTACATTGTTATGGCTCTTCTAATGAACTGCATTTATCATTACTACTCCCCCCATCTGGATTAGAACTAATCATTTTTCTACCTCTGTTTATCGTAAACATTTTGTTGACTCTCTTAGCCCCCTCATATTTTTTCTAATCAGCCTAATTGTCAGAAAATTTCTGCATTTCATACCTCCGTTTACTGCATACTTAACCTCTGCTCTAACTCTTCTTTCTTCCGAACTTTAACTTGCTCCGCTCGCTTTTGTTACCAACCGTGGATTTAACCCTTCTATAGCTAATCTAACTTTTGATCAACTCATTAGGCCTAAACTGTTCTTTTGTTCTAATCCTTACAGAGAACTTGTTACTTTATCATTTTTTCTCCTATTTGTTAGAAGATTGCTAATATCCTCTCCCTTTTAGGTTTTAAAGTCCTTTTAGACCTGTTAACAAAATCAGATTTAAATCTCTTAAAGATCCTCAATAGCTTTGATAATCGCTGGGGTGTTTGCTACATTTCTTGTTAGTGAGACCTTGGATACATCGGACAAATTAGATGCACTTTAAAATTTAGATTTAAGGAACATGGTAGATACGTCCTTTATCAATAATATAAGAAATCATCAGTTGTTGAATATTTCTGGAATCTTGGGCATTAATTTAGTTTTGACAGTGCCGAAATTATTTCCACCCTAGTCACATCAGCTCATCGTGATGCCCTGGAATCTTGTTTTATTCTTACGAATACCGATTCCTTTTTTAATCACATTAGTCCATAACTCTTCTCCATACTCCATAGCTCGTCTAAATACATTTTACCCTGATTTTTCTCCATCAGCCACTCAGGTTTTCTTCTTCTTCGTTTTCTTTCTTGGCTACTGTGGTTTTTAGACCCTTAGGAAAATTTGCCATAGAGAAGCCTATGGTAATCTATGGCAACCTATGGCTACCATAGAAATTTGTATGACAAAACCCTTTAAGCCTATGGCTACCATAGAAATTTGTATGGCGAGATACCATGGACCAATGGTAACCATAGAGACCTGTATGGTATTTATATGGCACGTCACCATTCTCTTATGGCAACCATAAAAATTTTTATGGTAGTATACCATTGGCCAATGGTAACCATAAGGATTTGTATGGCACGTCACCACTGACCTAAGACAAACAAAGAAATTTGTATGGCAGTATACCATTGACCAATGGTAACCATAAAGATTTGTAAGGCAGTATACCATAGGGAAAAGCTGATCTAGATCCCCACCAACGAAACAACATCTCCTATGGAGTCCTCAAAAACATCTTCCAAAAAAAATAATATCCATTTTTTAACCCCGAAGTTAATTAAATTCAACATGTAATCCCACAAGGCATTCCTGGTAAGTCTTTTCCGGCCTCCGGGTGGTCAATTTTTCTATTTTTGAGTGTTTGAAATCCGTTGTTCCATTGATTTAGGCTTAGAGTATGAGACCGCCATATTAACGTGACATCCACTACAAGTGGAATCTTTCCCTAACTTTACCTACTTATTTTAACATTTTTTCGACCTCATTCTGGGTCAAAAGCATTTTATTGCGAACGCCTTTATCTATCTGAATTTATCAAGTTTTTAATTTCCGGCTGTCTGGTACTTTTATTATCGGTATCTTTTCAAAATACGTCGCGATTGGGTATAAGGTTTCGCTATATTAAATTTTGCCATTTGTTAACACTGACTTTGTACACTTTAATTAATATCTTGCTGTTTATATTTTTATCTAAAATTTTTATATTTCTTTCTCCCTACTGTTTCTGATTAAACGACATCTTTTTTTATTTTATCCTCTCCCTCAGATTTTATATAAATTTTTAAAGTCACATCACTTTTCCATTATTAACGGTGTTCTGTTCCCCATAGCAATTTGTAAACAATCTTCATGATGAAAAGCGCAGTTAAGTGCTTATCATCAAGCCAGATCCATCATTTCTTTAATGATTAAAATTTTTTAATTCTCTTAACTTGTTCTATGACAATTTCATTTTATTGCTGTCATATATCAATATCAAAGTCAGTGTTTACATTCTCATCAGTTTTTGATTTTAATTCCACTTAGGTTCTTGCAATGCTTTTTAACATTATCTTACACATGTTAGGGCTTTATATTTTTATTTTGTGTTTAATTTTTGCTTGCCATTTAATTGTTTTTTTATCATGCCTCTGCCTTTTACTATCTTATAACTAATATTTCTTAAGTATCCACATATATTTGTACAATCTTATACTACATATTTTTACATAGCTTAGGGTCATCACTTAACTAGATTTGCTGGATTACTGGTTGACAATTATTTTGCTTCAATATCATCAACGGGACAGTCTCTGGCCATGTCATCTGCTGGCTGTTACCAAAAATGATTTTAACAATTTAATCTTTCCTTAAGTGTACAACTTTTTCGTCATAGTGATTTCCTATATCCAATTAATTTTTATTTACTATCCCTGACCAAGTGCCCTTAGGAAAATTTGCCATAGAGAAGCCTATGGTAATCTATGGCAACCTATGGCTACCATAGAAATTTGTATGGCAATATGCCATACGCCTATGGTTACCATAGAGATTTGTATGNAAAATTTCATACTCGCTCCGACCATCGGACCATTATTTAAATTTGCTTTCTTTTAGATAAGCGTCAGATATTAGAGGAACCTAACTAATTATGATACCAATCAATCAAATTAACGTTTTTTATAGTCGGTCCGACCTCCGGACCCACTTTACATTTTCTTGTTTTTTACAGCTTTAACAAATATCGGTTGCCTGTACTCAATATATTTTGTTCTTAATCAACATAACCAATATTTTCCCCACTCGCTCCGTCCACCGGACCCATTTTCTAATGGTTAGTACTAACCGTTTAAAATTTTTTTGAATAAAAGCAGCAATCAGAAAGGATTCTGCAATAAAACAGGGGAAGTTTATCAAAGAAATTTTAAAAAAAGCTTTCCGGATATATATTTATTCTACAATTATTAAGTTTTGCATTTTTAAAATCCATTGAGAAAGATTCTTGTTTGTAATTATTCTTTGATGTATGGTAAAATATCAACGAGAAATGTTGCCATAGCTGTATGATGGCAAAGGAGTACCATAGCCTATGGAAATATATTTCTTCATAAGCTGTAGCACATCTTAGTTTTATGACAAAAATTTGCCATATAAAAAAATGCCGTAGGATATTCCTATGGGGTTTTGCCTATGGTAAAATTTTGCCCTACACTTTTGCCATATACGTATGGCAAAATTTATCCATACATGTATGGCAAAAATTTGCCATATAAAAAAATGCCACAGGATATTCCTATGGGGTTTTGCCTATGGTAAAATTTTGCCCTACACTTTTGCCATATACGTATGGCAAAATTTATCCATACATGTATGGCAAAAATTTGCCATATAAAAAAATGCCACAGGATATTCCTATAGGGTTTTGCCTATGGTAAAATTTTGCCATATACGTATGGCAAAATTTTGCCATATAAAAAAATGCCATAGGATATTTTTATGGGGTTTTGCCTATGGAAAAATTTTGCCATACATGTATGACAAAATTTCGCCATAAGCATATGGCAAAAGTGTATGGCAAAATTTTACCGTAAGCAAAACCCCATAGGAATATCCTATGGCATTTTTTTATGGAAAATTTATGGCAAATTTTCCTAAGGGGATTTTTTCCCCTATATTTTTTTCTTTTTTCGCATTCAACTTTACTGTCCATATTTCAAAAAACTTTTGTTTATTCTCATTCACGTTTTTAAAATGAGCTCCTGTTTTTGAGTGCTTGAAACATCTCAACTTGTATTACCAATTTGAGTATATTTGAATCGAATGAAGTTTTAGTCAAGTAAAAAGGAGTTACCTCTTCAGTTTCTTTGGAATGTTTAAGAGAATAAGTTTTGAGTATATAGTTATTAAAGTTTTGCCATCAGTATTTTTGTAAATATGTAAAAATTTGCAACTAACTATAATTTATAGAAAGTACCGTTGACTCTTTTTCGCTAGCTATTTTACTGAAATATATGGAAATTATGTAAAATGATAGTATTTTACTAGGAGTATGCAAATTCATTAATTAATTGAGCGTACAAATTCACGCGTTCATACATGTCACAGCATGCTCTTTGTCGCACACGGCATATTATGCTCTAACTTTTACATTTTTACGATATCAGTTCAATAATCTTAAAAGGATAATCTATCAAAAATTGCAATAATTATTTTTTTAATTTTTTGGAAATTTTACTGTGTTTTTCTTTCCTTTAAGAAGTGGCATTCAACAACAGGAGTTATACAAAAATATGGAAACACTATTTCACTAACTCCAACACTAACTCTCATACATTTTTTCTTTTAGCAGTAAATGTTTTGAGAGATTTTACATTGAAAAACCGTTGGATTAATTTGAAATATCATGAAGTTTTTAGAAAGATTTTACCCTCATAAAATTTGAATTAACTAAATAATAAAAAAATTATTATTTCTTATTAACTTTAATACCAGAAATTTTGAAATTTTGAAATAGGAATACGATATTTATGTAAGAATGCTTTTAAAATTACGTCAGTATTAACAAAGAAAAAAAGTTTTTAACCTCCTACGCTCATTTTGGTTGAGGCAAACTTTGCATAGGTAAAAAGGACACCATTTTATAAAGCTTCAAGCATGATCGTTCAAACTATTCTAACTGTTTTGTCATATAAAACCTTCTGAAACATTTGCTGCTAAAAATAGATTGTTGAGATTATATGTGTTTCCTTACTTTTATCCTATCTCTGTAGTTTTAAATAATTTGACTATCAATAATTAAATTGGAAATGTACAATGCCTCGATAAAATAGATAAGCTAATCGGTAGATAAAACAATCTATGCAATTATTCAAGCAAATATTCACCAAAGATTTATTTCAAATCACCATTACCATTAATAAGAATAAACAAAGCAAACGGAACGCATAATTGGAAGCGATGATGTAGGCTAGTTAACGACATTCAATTTTATTAGACTAAGCACTTCTCTATCTATTGTTCAAAAAAATCATTAGAAGTTAGGGGGATAACTTAATGGCTTTGAAAGGGAAAACTCTTTTATGAACTCGTTTTAAAACTCAAGTTATTTATTCAAGAATAACCGTGGGTTTTATCTTGAAGGAAACGGACAGAAAATGTTTATCCGAAGATGGAATTCAAAATCCCGGAGTTTCTAATTGCAAATTAACTAAATTGCTGCAATCATATATCCATTCCCTTTGTTCGAATTCCATTTGCTAATGACTCGTTGACGTAATGAAATTCTCATAAATGTCTTTCTAGTAATTAAGATCAAAATTGCTTGCTTAGATTGCTCGTTCCATTGTTTAGTGAAGTTTTTAAATATTTGAACAAACTAGGTTTAGAAGTGAGTCAGTTTTAAGACCAATACTTACTTTCAGAAGTTCTATTATTTTTATTTGAGTTGTAAAATTGTCGTACATTAATTGGAAAACTGATCTTTGGCAATATTTGAAACTTGGAAATATAATCAAGAGCTAGAAAATTCGTATCCCACAATTCTATTAAGATTTTTTAGCACTTTCTCATACTATTCGAGGTAAATAAATTAAAATACTCTTGTGAAAATGTACCTATTGAAAAATTGAATTATTCATTTTGCGTCCACAATTGGAACATTTGTATTAATTTTTTCTATTTTACTCTTTCAGGATCAGAATTTTTCAATAAAAAGACAAACTATGACTTTAATAGAACAGTGAGATAAAATAACAATATCTGCCAAAAAAATTAACTGTTTGGTTAATTGAAGGAGGACTGGGACATATATGTCCCGATGGTATTTCTGTCTGCGGGACATAATGTCCAGATGAAAACTTTATATTCTTTCAACCTGAAAAAGTTGTTCCAATGCCATCAATGCTAAAATATCCAAGCGCATAATACTCATAGTACTTTCCCGATACTGTTAGTTAAGCCTTATTATGAAAAAGTAGACGTCTTTAACTGCAATACATTTGCCTATTTTTATCTTTAATTTTCAAGTAAAATATGGAATTAATAATCAGAATTTTTAAAACAATCTGGTTCGGCATTCATAAAAATTAATATACGCTTGGTGTTTTGTTAAGAGTATATTAAGAAAACTTAAGCATTGAATAAAATAACTTTAAAAAATTTTATATTTAATTTTCTTTTAATATTTAATCTGAGTAAATCATGTAGTTTAATTTCTTCGTAGAATGAATTATCAATTTCATTTGCCAAATACAAGTGCAAAGCCAGAGCTATTAAATTTGTGGGGTTTTTTTTAAAAGAAAATATCACGATTTTCTGGTAAAATTGTAAGATTATCAATGATTAAACAATTTTACAGCGCAAATAAAACTAAAATTTCATGCTTACCCATGGTTTCCATAGTTTGCATGACATTTTCTGCGCAATTCCTATTCTTAAATTATATCAGAGAATCGAAGTAAAATGATCAAAATGAGGATAAAAATCTATGGAAATAAAATTCAGTTCAATTTAGAGTGAGAGCATAACACCTCATGATTATACTCCTTAAGAAATCTGACATTAAATTTCGCAAGTCATCACATTTTTAGCTTTTTTTCTTTTTTTATGTTTTGATTCATACATGTTTTTAGTAATAATTTAAACCATTCGAGTTACCCTGAACTAAATAGCATATTGGGATTAAGCACTACAATCCAAAAGTTTTGTTTGACTTTTTTTGGCAATTTATGCTACGTGACCTTTGACTTATCGCCTGCCAGGTAGCCGAATGGCCATTGTGCCTGACTGCAAAGCCAATGGTTGTGGGCTCGAATCCCGCTCAGGGCATGGATGTTTCTCTCTGTGTGTTCTCTATTGTGTGATGTGTGAATGTGACCCACCCTATGAACGATTATCTGTGGCAGGGTGGTGTGGGTAATGTTACTCACCTCAGTGACTTAAGTTCACAGGTGCCCACTAGGTGATGTTAAATGAGCAACACTTCCGGTATCTTCCGAGGTGAAGAACGGAAGTTCAGTGGCTGCCGTAGAAAAAAAAAATATTTGATGTATCATGTTTTGTNCATGCACTGGCCCTCATTCTGGCCCAGATTTCACTTTATTAACGGAACCGATACGGCAATGAAAAGCCCGCCGTAATGGCACTTTAGGTGAGCCGGCATTGTCCCTTTACTAGCCCAAAAGTTGTGTGCTTGTTGGGTAGTATTTCTTTAGATAAGCTAAATTTATAGGTGTATGCTAAAAAAACAAACAGAATGTAGTTTAACGTAAGCATTCAAATAAAAAAAATCATAACTTTCCCTAAAAAAAATTAAAGACAACACTGACATTCGTGGTAGCCCAGTGGTTAGAGAATTAGATTTCGATTCTCGACTTCCCTAAGACCCACCGAATACATGAGATATACGTGCTCGCAAACTCTACAAAATCGAAAGTTCTGTGATCGCTCGCTAGGTAGTAGCATGTGTACAGGGATCTGGATAAAATTTCCTTCCCTTTCAAAGGAGTTTCTAAATTGAGGAAGTGGCATCATAAATTGTGATGGCATGACTTCGGATCATCATCAGGGTTTTTTTTCATACTATCTCCAATAGCCAATTGTGCAGAGTAGGACGAAAATAAAGTACCTACCTATCCAAAAAAATACTGAATTTGTTAACCATATCTCTGATCTCAATTTTTTTGTAAGCCCCAGATCTATGTAATTCCGAAAAGGATATCTTTTATACATATTAGCATCTTATTAGTAATTATAATCATTAGCTTGCCAAAGAAACTTTCATAAAAAAATATTGCCATTATTACTTCTTTTAACATTTTTTTTAAAAAAAATGATTGATAATTTTAAATTCTTCTGAAGTTTATAATCTCATCTAACGTAATCAGCAGATAAATTCATGAAAAAAAATATAGCTAAAAAATTTATAATAAATTCGTAACAAGTGCAAATTCTTTTGAATCAGGTTTTTTTTAAAAAAACGACCATCTGGTTGCTATTTGAGTGTTTCTCCTAAATTTGGCTACAAATATGATATTACTTACATTCATCAAATCTTAGAATAAAAGCTTATTCTAGATTTTGCACCATACCTTTGCAAAAGCACCGAACTTAATCCAAAGTTTTTAAATACTACAAAAAGAAAAAAATCATACCTATTACAATAAATAAAATATATTTACGCATTTTAGACATTTTTTTCTCCTTATTATGGATAAATTGCTTTTTAATGACTCCTTTTACTACTAAAATAATTCATTTTCTGACAAATATGCTGGTAATAAATTTACAATTCGGGTAAAGCATTGTAAATTAATAACTGTTTCATGCTTCAAAAGGAAGAGTAAACACAACTTCCGAAAAATGTGCAACTTTATGATAGAAGTTCAATAATGCGAAAAATGTTTAAGTCTTAAAAATATTGTACTTCATCAACTTAAAAGGTAATCGATTAATGAAAGTTTGAGATTGATTAATTATGATAAGTAGAAAATATTTTTACATGAAGTCCAAATACATTTAATTAAATTGTAATATTTTTTTTAATAAGATTAATAATTTTAGTTATGAAATTTCCATCTCATAATTGCTGAATCCTTTTTTAACTGATTATATTAATAAAGGTACAATGGAACGGTGCTAAAAGCATTTCAATCCTGATTATAAAATTTAAAAGAAAAACCTTATATACATGTATAAAGGTATATACATGTATTATGACTTAAAACATGTCCTGTTCAAATGGAACAATGTATGTAGAAATTTAATGTAATGATGTCGTAGAAATTAACTTTAAATCAATTAGAATTTGTTATTGAAATTAAGTAGAGAGCATTTTTAATTAAATCACTGCAAAGCCAGTAATTATACGATAATAAGAAAAAGAATATAAAAATACCTTAAACTATTATGATGTAAATACATTAAAAATACTTGCTAGTGAAAATAAAAATAAAAACAGCAGCGGTCACCATAGCAACGCATGCAATGACGACGCAAGAGCACTGTTTACACAGTTCAAAAGTGTGAGGACGCCATCAAATCCAAATCAAGACCCATTTTGTCAATGGGTAATAATTCCCTAACGAATCAATGTTTTATTGGCTGAAGGAAACAAATTTACCACATCGGGTTTCGATGTAAATTTTATCCCACATTAGTTGGAGCATGATGGTGGTTAAGCATGGTTGTGGTATCCTTGTGTGTTGTTGCATACCAGCATCAGGAAAAGATAATTTGATATTTATTGATGACATAATAAATCAACCTGTTTATTTAAATATTTTACGATTCAATTTATAATTATCATCCCATAATTCGGGTATTGGAAACAACTTTTGTTTTATATCAAGATTACTATAATGAGCACACGTCTCTCAAAATTCGAGGGTGATGTCTCAGTAATTGACCACAAACTTTTGGCACGTTACCTCAATTCCTATAGTTAAACAGAATAAAGCATATTCGAATAGAAGTGAAAATTAATTTTTTTGTTTTAATGCCATGTTGTCATACTCTTAACTAAAAACAATGGCTAAAAAAAAATTATTTTAATGCAAAAAATGCGAAAATAAACAAGTTACAGTTATTTACAGACTTTTAAAAGCTATTGCAGATACGAGAAAAAACTCTATTAGATGATATCTTAACGGAAAGTTAGAATATTTATTAATAGATGGAGATTTATTAAAAGTGATCTTTGTAATTATTGATTCCTTAAAAACTTGTAAGACAAAGTTTTTGTTTTTCTTCTATTTTTTATTTCTTAAAAACAAACTTTTGTTTTGTGTATAAAATATTTTATGCAGTTTTGCGAATAGAATATATTTCTTATAATTAAATATCCATTCTGAAATTTTCCTTTTAATTACTGGATGGAACCCTATTTCATTGAAACTCATAAGTGTACGAACACTTTTGAAAGTCACTGCATTTATTTTTTTCTCCAGAAAAGCCAGAATTTTAGGATTATTAAAATTCATTATATATAATATGATTAATTATTTGATGCATAAAAATGATTAATTTAAATCGTAAATAAACTTATATATTTCTAAAAGAATGGGGTTTACTTTCATTCCGAGTTTAAGTCAAGTTTTGTTGCATAAAAGATGTTACAAAATATATATTGTTTCTCTAAAAAAAGGAATAAGTTTTCAGCGAAATCTTCTGAGAATATCTTTTCTTTTAAAGATAAGAAATAAGTTTGCCATTTCGAATAAGATTTGCAAATAAGACACTTGAGTGACCAGTTGGACAACTCAACTCTGAAACACTTTTTTTCAAATTCAATTTCGAGCTTAAAATAGAATTGAACAAAACTTTTGTGTTGTAGACTATATGCCTTTAAAATAAATTAGAAAATTTCCTTGTTTAACTTGACGCAGAAAATATTTACACATTCGTTTAATTTCATCAATGATCAATGATCAATTTATTGAGTCGTTGTGAAAGTGATTCTTATTCTTTTTCTCTCTGTCAACTGAATAAAGGGGTTGTATGGAAGATAATGATAAACCACATTTTCATATTTCCTTAAAAAGTGTTTTTAGTAAAAGAACACCGAATTTACCATAGGCAATGAGATGTCTCTGAGTTTCGTGCTGCGAAAATTCCCAAAACTGGAAACAATACTAGGGATATATTTGACGTGAAATTGTCGCATTTCGAGGGNCGGAGTTGAACGTAAGTAGTCGTAAACCCATGAAATTGGGTTGGCTGTTCAACGACGGTTATAAAATAAAATATATAGCTCCTAAACGTTTCAAGTTTATGTATGGTTTAAAGTCAAAAATATTTCAAAGTACATTATAATGAAATTTAACATTTTGTTTTCAATCTTAACAAAAATGAAGGTTATTTTGCTTTATTTTCGAAACATAAATATAAAGGCTTGTTCGATAAGCCTTTTATCATTTTTTTTATCTATAAATATCTTATTAATGAATTTTATAAAATAAAAAATGTATCTAGATCTGTTAAAATTGTTCATACAATTACAAAATTAACTATACTAAAGTTACATAAATACTAAAACTTATTTTAAAGAGTTTGCAGAAACCGATTTGGTCAATGTAATTTATTTTTAAATAAAATGTAAGTTACAAAAAAAACTTTCAGGTTTTTGTCAATGCTAATTATTTACTTCTATTTTAATTATACATTCCAATATCTAAATAATAGTCATTATTAGTTATAATACTTAATTATTTATCCATTATTTCAGTTAGGCAGTTTCAGAATTAATTATTTAGTATAGAAGCACTATACCTGCGAGACAGTTTTTATAATATTTATGACAAAAATTCTAGAGTAGTTGTTTATTTTTTTAATCTACCTAATTTAATTCTCCCCAATTATTTCAAATTTGCAAATAATCCAAATTACTTATCAATTAATTCCAATTACTTACTATTACTTTTCTGCCGAAAAAAGTAATACTAAATCACTTCTAGATATGATATTAGGTAAATTACTAATTCTAAATTACTAATACTAGATAATAAACTAAAAGTAATGCTAAAATTACATAAATTGCTAATAGTATATGACTTTTGGTATACTACTAAAAGTAATATTTTTCTAGTATGTAATATTACTTTTAGTAGTATACTAAAAGTAATACTACATACTAGAAAAGTAGAACTAAAATGCAATATTCCACCAAGATGAAGTAGAAATTTTTGATTCTATGTATGATGAAATTTTTGATTTACATATATTTTATTCTAAAGAATCAAATAATTTTTTTTTAAATTTAATATTTTTATTTTCAATGGTCACCTGTTTTAACATTTGGTCAAGTAAGTCACTTGCAGGACAGATTTGTTAGCCACTCTTTCAGGAGCATCATATTAGGTGGACCAACAATGCTTCCAAAGTAAGGACAGATAGTATAGAAAGTGAAACAACATCCATGAGTTGCCCGGGATTCGAACGCAGAACCTTTCTGATGCAAGGTAAATTCCATAACCCCTACACAGTCCCATTTTTCCAAACAAAAAAGTAAAACATAATAAAACAAGTTTTAAACATTCAAATTATGTAGTGATTTTAGTCTTACCCAATAAAATCCAGGTAGGTTTACATTCTTCAGTGATAAAATGATAACCCCAATGCCTTTACCTCCATAATTCATCATGCATCAGGTCTGTATCTATAATAAGAGACATTATATGGTGTGTAAGTAAATAATACAATGTATATCGCGTAAAATTAATAACGTATTTTTAAATATAAAAGAATTTATATTGGATTTTTCAATGTAAACTGCTTGGGTCATTCATTATGATGATAAATCTCGATAATAAATCGCTCGCGATAAACCGACGTTTATAGCGAAAGACTTAAGCATCCAATTTTCCAGTAAATCTGAATATTAAGTTTGGATGATGCAGCGAAAAGGAGTTCTACATAATCTATTCTTTAGTATTATCTGGAAGGCATGGATCGCTATTAATCATTGTTTCATGCATTCATCTTCGGAACCAGCATTTGGAATGCGACAGAATAATCTCTTAAATCTTCAGTTCATAATCTTCATTTTAATCTATCACATGACTGTAGTTGAATACGAGGATAAAAGCGTGGTAAATTGTTTTCAAAAGCGATTTAGAAGTTATTGTTGAGTTAGTACAATATTTAGTTAAATGGAATTCTTTAGTCCACAAGTTTTGAGTTGAGCAATTCACTAAGGAAATAATGTACGGTGTGCAAAAAGGAACTTACCACCCTAAATAACCTTTTATCTAATGAGCGGATCTTCACGTTCTAGGACTCAATCTTAATGGTTCGAGGACTGACCTCAAGTTAGTTTTAAGTTACGAAATCAGAGACAAAATACTTTATCTAAATAAGCATACAATTCTTTTTGATAGATTTTTCTGTCCAGCAAAATATAGAAATTTGTACATAGAGTCTGCGTCTAGAGTATGTAATCTGGGAAATATGGTCCCAATAGTTTGCTCAGGAACCGGTCGAAAGTTTGGAAAGAAATTTGGCTAATCAGAAAGGAAGTTGATCAAAGAAACTAAGTTTTTGTGTCTGATTTAAAATATCGTATGCACTAATTAACTAGCATACTTCAAGTCATCCTCTCGAACTATTAAGATTGTGACCTAGAACGTGAAGATCCGAACATTAGATCAAAAGTAACTCAGGTATGTCCGTTTTCGCGTACTGTACGTATTTCATTGAAACAAAATGAAACACGTTCAAACCAGTAATACTAATTCCATCTATACTATACTATATTTTTTTTAATTGTTTACTATATTTTTACCTTAATATTTCATCTCATAACCCTCGGTCCATTACCAATTGCTTTATACATATTATTCAGAGATTGTATATTATTATAGCATTATATATTATTCAGGGCTGCCACCTTTCAACGGTAGATAAGTTTGTTTCAATATATGATTCCATGTTTTTTTTAAATTTAATTAAAAGTTATTTTTCTCACCACTACATGTAAATGATTCAAAATTTCATATTAAACCCTATTTTTTCATGTCCTCTCGTGGTGAAATTTTTAAAATGTAGGCAAAATTACCAAAATTCTAAAAGCCTTAGTTTTTAATTGCCTACCACTTCATTAAACATTTTGCAAAAGTCTTCGTAATTAGAGACTATATTTCTACGTAGATTAACACTATATACATAGTAGATAAAATAAAAATTTATTATGCATATTATTAAAATAAATTATAAAAATAAAGCATCTTATAAAATAAATTATACAAATTTTAGATTTCTAATTTAAACTGCTTTGATGCTACACATTTATTAAAGATAACTTTCTATAATAAATTAGTTGCGATATTTAAATGTTTGTTGAGAAAGATTTAATCTTCAGTCTAACCAGAAAATTCGATGCAAGGACAAAATAGTTAGAAAATTTGTTTTAAAAAGATGAGTAAAAAATTTTAGGGGAATTAGTATTTGGATAGATAGATTTTTTGAATATATAGATTTCAAACTGAGCTATTAAATGAATATTATATGAATGCAAAAGGATGTTATAAAGATCTTTGCTTTTATTAACCTATATTTTTTATAATCTTTTCCTAAAAAGTGAGTGAATGTAATACACATTAAACCTGAATGTATGTAGAAAATAATTACATAAGCGAAAGAAAATCTGGCAAATACTAAACGAAGAAGGTTGAGATAAAAAACAATAAAATTTATTTGATTGTCGGGAGAAAAAAGAGAAATGACAATTAGAAACTAAGTTGCAGCCGGAAATCATGCTGAATTCGATGCTTTTAATCCAAACCTTATCAAAACCCTTTATATTCCTTTTATTCATTCACTTTTATGTCAGCAATAATGGACTATTTTAATCGAAATTTAGACTATTTTCGATTATAAAAAACTGAAACTGCATGCCTCATAACAATTCAAGCTATAATTGTTTCCTTACCAATACAAGTTGAATTTATCATTATTTTTAAGTCAAATTTATCTTTAACTAATCATAAATCAAATTTATTTTAAATAGAGAGTACGAGCCTCAGTCATTTCCAAACCGTTAAATGTAAAATTTTCAGTCATAAATTCGCCAAAAATAAATTACCACTAAGTGATTAAATATCAACTAAAGCTCTATGTTTAGTGATCATAGAAGTTTAAATTGTTTCATGACCACTACGAAAATAAATCGTAACGATCTTATCGTCAAATGGAATTATACTTCTATCATAATTCGAACCACTTACTGATCAGATAAATGGTTCAATCGCTTTCTGATTGCTACCAACAGTTACGATCGTCATATCGCCAAATGTAGAAATTATTGTCAATAGAAATTTCGTTCAATTGCAGCTAAAGTAAACAAAGTTTAACAGCAGCTGGCGTCCTTATTGCAATACACGTTTCATTGTATTGCATAGTACAAGCAAAAAGTTCCGCTATATTATCGCCAGCCAAAATTTTAAAGGTTTTCATTCTGAAACAAATTAAGAAACAGAAAAATTAAAAGAAGAAAATAATTAAATAAAATTTTTAAAAACTACGCTTCTCATTTTAGCTATCTAAGGTATAAGCGTATTTTTTTAAGGTTATGAAATTTTAGTCTTTTGCAAATAAAGAAACCTAAAGCTGTCAGAAAGCTCTAGCTGATGCGTGATTTGACCCCAGACCAATATCTATGACGTCAATGTCTCAAACATAATAAAAAGACGCGCATTCTTTTCTTTTTCAGACTTCTGAGCCTACATAGACCACATCTACTGCTTCGACTCCAATACAATCAGAGTTCTCCGTCAGCTTCAAAATCAGAGAGGCTGCCTAAATCTCAACCCAAGTCTACGAGACCCCAAAAGATGGAGCATTCACTTCAGAACAAGTCACTCAGATCAAAGATTTATCGGCACGAAAAAAGAAACCACCGATGGAAATTGACAAATGGACATGGAAATTGACTTACATATTTCCCCCCAAAATTTTTGCATGGACATTCACATGCAGATTTCAATGGCTGAGGGTGACCCAGTGCTCATTGTGACAGACACCGTGACCGGTGTACCAACAAACCTATAACCGCCTCCAATCCCCGTGCCTTCTCCAATAGAGGTGGAAAAGAACAAAGTAAAGCCCAACCTAATGCTACTTCCAAAAGGATTTTTAAAAGTCTCATCAGAGATGTTGCAGTTAACATCAAGCCATAAGAGATTTCTATGGGATTAGCTTAAGCTGGAATCGAAACTACAAAAAATCTACCAATTCAAGCATCGAGCTCCACCCATCATTAACATCACTCTAGACACTGTTGACAGCCAATTAGTATTCGAGTATTCGACCTACGCCCTCTTATGAACCGTCCAATCAGAGTCGAAATATCCAGGGAAGGACGTTTTCAAATACCATGTTCTTGTTACCAAAGATGCGACCACATACTATCAACCTGCAGTTACTCCCTTATGTGTATGAAATTCACCAACGGCATCTCTTCGATGAGTGCACTAGATAAGAGTTCCCCTCCAAACTGCTCTGGAAGCAAGTCCAAACCAAAGAGACACCGATCCAACATCACAAGGGAGCAAGCTCCATCCACATCTTTGCCCAAACAGTGATTTATTGAGATCTTCACAAATTTAAAGAGCTCCTGAAATCCTCCAGAGATTCAGCTGATGTTTTGGGCACTATTTTTTGATGCACTTCTACAAACGAGAAACTAGGCTGTCCTATCCCCTCTTCTACATCATCGCTGATCACCAACTCAACTCTATATCTTCATAAATAGCATCGTCTGTATTGTTCGTATCTTAACTTCTTACCATCCTAACTTCTTTCTCTGACAGAATCAGGTTACAGGTTTAATGAATATCAACACGTCGGGTGATAGGATTGAGGATATTAAAGATGTCCTTGTACTGCACAAGTTGTAGATATGTTAGCTTCATAACGATCATTTCAGTCTTAAATTTCAATAAATCTTAGTTCTAATCAGGGGAGGGATGACCATTCGATTTTTGTCAGACCAAGAAATCATCAATTTCATAATAAACATTTACAAAGATTTCTATAACATCTTTCAGAGCTGATGTCTCTTACTTTTGTCAGTTATTTTCGGTTACTTAATCCTCTTTTAGTCTATTTCAAAATAAAAATTCTTGATAGTTTAGTCTCTGAAGATTTATTACCACTTTTGTGTCAATGCATTTCTATACACTGCAATCCTAATATACATTGGTTTTATTCCCTCCCATTAACTGCTCGTTTTTCTTCCATTTAGTATTTAATAGATCAACAAGATTTGATCCTTTAGTAGTCCAAATATAATAACATTTTTCGAATTTATAACCACTGTGCGGATTAGTAACCCGAACATAGTGGCATCTATCTTATTTTTCATCCACTGCGCAGTTTATGTTCGTTATGTCGAACTACAAAAGGGATCCGTGCTGAGGCTTTCTTTCTTCTAAGAGGTATTGCTCTAGTGCCATCAGACTTTACATTCACCTAATGAAGATAATTTTGCAGTTTTTATAAAATTAACTTAAAAAAATAGAGATTTGCATTTCTTAACAACACATTTATATAATAATATTTTCTAAAAATTTCATATGCAAGTAAAGAAAACATATTGGCATTAGATTTATTCCATTTTGTCAGAATAAATATTCAGAAAACATTTGGTAATACCACAGC